GATAATCAGTTCTATCTATCCAGCAACTACAGCATTATCACAAAGTAAAACCACTGAATCATTATAAAATAACTTTAAACCAGCAACAACATAAATGTCCATCAACAACAGAATGGATACACAGCCATGAGAGACAACGGATTACTGCTTCACACAACAACATAAATGATTCTCACGATTTTATATTGAGCGAAAGAAGCCAGACACAAACAAATACATGTAATAAGATCCCATTTATATGAATTTCAAGAACAGGCAAAAGTAATCCATCCTGATAGAGATCATAATAGTGATAACTTTGGGTGGGTAATTGGCTGTCAAAGGGCAAGAGTAAGCATGCTGGGAGCTGGAACTATTCCAAATCTTGACCTGGGTGGTGGTTATACACAGTTGCATACATTTACAAAAAATCATCAAGCTGTATGCTTAAGATTTATGTCTTTTACTACATGCAAGTTATACATCAATTGAAATGTTTTTAAATGCTGCAGAATAAAGGAAATCGGTACATGAAAAAAAATTAAAATTGATCAGAGACCTATAAAGCACAACTGTTGGCTTGGCTCCACTCTTCAAATGTCAATGAAAACTGAGGTCTAAGCACAGTATACTATATTTCAAGGGTAGAGGCCTTGCTTTCTTTAAACTCAGGCTTAACTAATTATGATTTACCATCACTAATATGGGGAAGGCTTTTCAGGAATAAACGTCTAAGGGCAGATCGCAGCAGTCCTCATCCTCTGGGCCTTAGGCAGTAAGTCCATTTCGTAACCAGCTTCCAAAACTTATAAAAAGGAAGACATACACCAATGCTTAAATAGCTGCCAGAATTATATTTGTGCATCTTCACTGAAAGAACTGGTTAAAGTAAAATAAAATTTTCATTTGCATTTTTATGCTACCCGTGGATTTTGCAATAACTCCAGCCTTTAAAAATTACGATTTCAACCTTCTCTTTTTAGTGTGTGGATTTTGTTCACAGGATAATGTTATTTTTTTTTAATACAATTTGTCTTTGCTTGGAAAAAATTTTTTGAAGGAAAAAAATGACCATGTTAAAATGAAAAAGCAAAATGATATTCAATATTTACTCAGTTTTCACATGCAAATTTTCTATATTGTCTTTAACTGGGATCCCCAAATTTGAATCTAAATTCAAATTCAGTTATGCATCATCTATAGATCATTATTTTCTGTAAAATATACATTTAATTATACTTTTCCTTTACATCCTTTACAATTAAGGTAAGTTATTGAATAAATATTATAAAATAAGATAGTCATTAGTTACTTAGACTATACTCACATAGTCAGAAAACATTCAAATACTCCAAGAGGATAATTTTCGATACAGAGTCAGAGAACTGGAACCAATACTTCTAAGATTCTGTATTCCCATTGGGAAAATTTGAGGATAGAAATAAAAATATGTTTATTGAACTCCCACTGATTAACAATGAGGATGATTCAGAGATAAGTGCCATGGAAGTAGAATAAAGGTACGGATCCCATTCTAATTATACATAAAGTTGTCTTGCTGATCAGTTTATGATCTAGTCTGGAAGAATTTAGTGGCAGGCACTTAGTAAATTCTCAATAAATGATTGCTATTAATATGATTATTCTTTCAGCAACCAAGTAAAGTAGAGGGCATGTCCTCCTGCTAATATACCTATTTTACAGAAGAAGAAATTAAAAATATATTTTTAACTATACTCAGAATAAAAATTAGAATAACCCATCCAAGAGTCTCCCAAGGATTACCTCATAACTAGATTTTTAGGTGGATATTCACTCTAACCAAGTGTGCGCATATTCTTCAGGAAATTTACTGGTCAAAGCTACCATTTAAGATGACCATCGGAAGTACCTGTACATTTAATTTTCTGCCAAACCACCTGTACATTTAATTTTCTGCTGGTAACATGGAAATTAATACAACTAAAATGTAAAAAAACAGCAGGATTTACCATATGAAAGGTCATTTGTTGGATAATGTATATATTGACATCTATTAAAGGTAAAACTTCTTATTTCTATGTCTCTATTCATTTTTATCATCAATCTAAATAACATGTGTCCAGACAGGAGAAAAAAAAGAGGAGAGATGTACAGCTGCTGGCCAAATCAGTACTTTAGACAAGGTCTGACCATCAATCCACCCTCTTTTTGCACAGGACTTAGTCAGTGTTTCTTTCCTCTTGTATGTACTCGTCTTATTCTGAATTCTGTATCAGCTAAAACTAAAGACTAAGCCAGAGTAAGTAACTTTACCCAAGGTGGATAACCCAAGACTCATCTTTAATTTTCTTAACATTTTTCTCTCCTGTTGCAAGTAATTTATGTTTTTATTAGTAAGGACAGACCAGAGAAAGACAAAAAAAATCATTTTTCTTAGATCAAATGAATATAAAAGACTCAGGATATTTTTCAAGCAGTATTTTAAAGATATCAAGCATAGTAAGGATATAACAAGTGTTGACTATTCTAACAAAAGTTTGAGTAATTCCAGCTGCCATTTAGAGTGGAGATGCAGCATTAAATCATGCAGAGTAAAATATTTTTAAAGCATTCTATTTTCATATTTAAAACAATATTATAATACAAACCACTTATACTTGATACTAAAAAAAATTCTCACTGTATTTCAGAAGATGAATCCTAAATAGTTGTATTATGATTTGTGTTAAAAGTGTTCTATTAAGTCAAGTTTTAAGGTCATTAAGGGCAGAGACGATGTTAACCTACTGCATGTTTGGGGCATGTAGTTAGTTTTCAGTGAACAAACTTCATTAATTGAAACCATAATAAAAGGAAATAGGGACAGCAAGAAAAAAATTAAATATGCATATATTCTTCTTGCCCAATTGCCAAAATCATGTTAGTCATTAGTCTTATATTTGATTTTGGGGACAAACTGGTATATTGTCTCCCACTTGCACCCCATACTCTTATCACAACAAAGTATCGGCAACAGTATGAATGACAGTAACTAGAATGCATTCGATATAACAAAAACTTTAAATCCTGTTTTCTCATCTTCACATTAACCTGAAAGGCAGAAATTATTTTCTTTTTTTATTGCTAAGTAAAGACATAAAATTAAGTAACTTGCAACATCATACAGCTAGAGAAGCAGCACTGTTTGGTATTTAAGCACAAGGACTATAGCTGCATACAATTATTTATTTGAGATCCAACTCCTCCGATCTCTACTGCAAGTTGCTTCACTTCTCTAAGCTTTTGTGTCTTTATTATTAGAAAGTGATCATTTTAACTGCATCTTCACAACGATCCAGTGAGGATTGAGTGAGATACTCAATGGAAAGAACTTAGCAAAGTGTTTGGGACATAGTGGGCGCGCGTGCGCGCACACACACACGCACACACACATGTGCACAAACTAACACCATTGTCTGCATTTTCAATCATGCTTGTTCTCAGAAACTTGTGCTTCCCGTAAGGTTCTGTACTCTCTCCTCACTTCCATATTTTTGCTAATTTATCTCTTTCACCATTCTATATAGTTGAGATATTTCTTTTCATGGACTACAATATGAGCAGAGAAGGTTATGTTCTTATTCATCTCTCAAGTCGAAGAATAGATAGCTTCTTCAAAAATCATCCATGCATTCCAAAACTGAGCTACACCTCCATAGAGTCCAGGATATTATTCTCTCATGTTACTTATTGTGAATTAAATATATGGCTACCAGTCTGTGTTCATGAATAGACTGTGATATCTCAGAAAGAAGAGCTACAACCTTTTACTCAATATCCCTCAACATCCAACGAAGGACCTGAGCCATGGAACACACTCAACAAATATTGGAAGGATGAATGACTCGAGGCAGGGACACATAGAGCATATGGCTGAGCTACCAACACTGCCATCCATGCGGCCATTCCAAACCAGAGCAAGCAGGCACTGAATAAAAAAGGAGAATCAGGGATTTAAGAAACAGGTTACCATAGCTACATTTATCTGGGTTCTCTCTCTTGGGGTAAAAGTACAAACTTAAAGGCCAAATGTTGTAGAAGGCAATGCATATGTATAAAGAATTCAGAATCTTTCCTTCCTCCCTTCCCATGCCTTTAGGAGATTAAGTTTATCGCAAAGCAGAAATGCTATTCCTCTCCTAACACTGGAGTGATAGGTGGAATCACTGTCTGCAGATCACCCAGAGCTCCTCAGAGAACAGTGCTCCCCTGAGCAATGCTTCTCAAACTTTATGGACAAGATTTATCACAGGCAATGTTAAAATACAGATTCTGATTCAGTTGTTCTTGAAACATACAGTTTTTATTAAGTTTTACTCTATCTGGGAAGGAATTTCACAAAAATAATGGGCAGTGTTCAAAAACCAAAAATAAATAAATAATAGTGGGTCATTTCTTTCTAGACCAGTGTTTTTCAACCTTGGCTGTATAAAGTCCTGAGAAGCTTCTTAAAAACACAATAACAGACCAGTGGTCATCTCTGTCCTCCTTCCCCTTCAATGAATCGAAAGCTGGGGAGATTTTTTCAGAGTGATCATAAGGTAAAACCTGTGTGGGAACCACTCTTCTATCAGTCCACCATCCTCTCAAAGTCTGGGCCAAGTCCTGATGCAATCTGCAAACCAGTACAGGCTATGATGAGATAAGCACTGAAACTGACAGTGTTCAGCAATATGACAAGGTAAGTTTATGTTTAATAAATCTAATAATGAAAATAGTTAGACTAGTTTTAAAAAAAAAAAAAAACAGTTGACTTGCAAAGAAACATTTTAATAACCCCTCAAGGAAGGTTTCTAAATAATTATACCTCCAGTTCTGGTATTGAGGTTATGTTAGGCCCCTTCTTTCAGCTGCTACTTCTTAAAGTTGAAACATTAAAGTCAGTGATTAATTGCTCAGACAGATCGTTCAGAGACCTGGGTACAACGGGTTTAATGAGCAGTAATGGGGTAGGTGGGGTTACAAACCAGAAGCACATGCCCTGCAAGTGAGATAGCTTTCTTTCCCTTTAATTGCCCTGAAAACACACTCACTCTCACATAACACGGAAGGTGAGAGCTGAATGAAGTTTTCTGGGTAATGGCTTGAAATGTTTTCCTTATGAGAAATGGTGTTGAGTTACAGCCTGCAGACTGAGAACTGGGAGGAGAGAAGCAACAGCCCCAGCCCAGCCCCCATCTTTTCCTGGACTTGTAGGAAGGTGGACTTGGGCTCCCGGAGACAAGATGGGTGATATGTTTAACTGTCTGTTGGCTGGAGTTGACTGCTCCCAGAGTGACCTAAGGACAGTGTTTAGCAGGGTTGAGCCAAGGGCCGGCCGAGCCGGCACAGATGCTCTGCTGTGAAATGCCACGCAGGCAGAGACTGACAAGCGGTAGGAGCTGAGCTTTCCCCTTGGACCGCTGCTTCCTGCTGTGTTCAAGGGGAGGGGGGCCCTTTCTGGCAACTCTGCTGCTGCTGCTGCTGCTGCTGCTGCTCTGCTGCTGCTGCTACTTCAGCCCCCTCTCCACTCAAGGTAAGCAGGCTCAAAGGGAGGGCAGGCTGCAAGGAAAGACTTTGCACCATGAACAAGATCCGAAAGTTTTTCCGAGGAAGTGGGCGAGTCCTGGCATTTATATTTGTAGCTTCTGTCATCTGGTTGCTCTTTGACATGGCAGCTCTCCGCCTCTCATTCAGTGAGATCAACACCAGGGTCCTCAAGGAAGACATTGTCAGAAGGGAGCGAATAGGGTTCAGAGTTCAGCCAGACCAAATGAAGATCCTTTACAGCAGCATAAAAGAGATAAAGCCTCTACTGAGGGGACATGGGAAGGGCATATGGGGCAAAGAGAACTTTAGAAAGACTGAGGAGAGTGTGCTCAAGGTTGGAGATAATTTCGACCAAACCCAGAGAGAAAGAAAAATGCAGAATGCCCTGGGAAGTGTCAAGGTTGCACCTTTGTGGCATCCTGTACATCTGCAGATTCTCCCAATGACATTTACCAAGCAGATGACAGAAGAGCAAGACATCAAACCTGAAGCCTACTCTCACTCTATGACACCAAAGCGAAAGACAGCTCAGGGGACTCAAAAAACCCCATTCATAGCAGGAAAAGGAACTCCATTACCCAAAATATCTGTACACACAGGACCTGTTGGGATAAACCAGGAGGCCCAGAAGAGTCATAGTCAGAGCAGTGACACATCAAAACAAGCAACCAAAAGGAACCTGAATGTGACCATTGGGCTTAATACTAACAGATCAAAGCAGCAATCTCAGGCAATAGCAAATGAAAGGACACACCCTGCCAGCCCACCAGTGCCAAAATCTAGGGAAGCCATAGCCTTAAATAAAACTGAGACTCAGATCAAAGAACTAAATGCATATAAATACAAAGCCAATAAGAACCTTCCCTTTTCCAAGTTCATTGCCAATCCGAATCGCTTAAAAAAGCAGTCTATTAATGAGACACAGTTGGGAGGCTTGTCAAAGAATGATGGAGCCAAAGTGGATGGTGGGAAGAAACTCAATTTCTCTGAAAGCCATGTTGTGATTATCACCAAAGAGGAGCTAAAGACAGACACCAAAGGGGTCCCCAATCCTAAAATTGAAACTATATTTCCTATAGTGTTGGGTGAAAGCCAAGGGAAACACATTTCTAGGAATAGAAGTGAGGCATCTTTCTCTTCACTTGCTCTAAAGAAAGCCACAGTGTCTCAAACCAATCAAGTCTTAGCTGGGGGACCAAAGCCAACAAGAATCAACTTAACTGACAAGGCCCAGCCGGAAGAACTCAACCAAAGTCATGCAAAAGCACTTTCACCTGAAGACCACGAAATGCACCAGGTGTTAAGCATCGATATGACACTTTCACCAAGGGACTTCAAAGCTCCAGGTCAGTTTGGACGTCCTGTAGTTGTTCCCCATGGAAAGGAAAAGGAAGCGGAAAGAAGATGGAAAGAGGGAAACTTCAATGTCTACCTCAGCGATTTGATCCCAGTGGACAGAGCCATCGAAGACACAAGGCCTGCTGGGTAAGATCCATTTTTCTCTCCTTCCTCAATCCCAAGTATTTTGGCTCTGATGTAGAGAAGATTTATTTCTAGATCATTTTGTTCAATGTTTTTAGTCATCTAGAGAACTAAAGCAACATTAATCATTAGACATAGTCCAAAGAGGCTACTACCCACATGGAGAAAAATTCTAAAAACAGCATACCCACTGTGTTCTCTTTCTACACTTATTTCTCTGAGACTTGGGCCCTCACTCCTTATGTTCCATTAGCTTATGTTCCATTTCCTTTCCTCTATTGAAAATTTATAAAAATGATTATATTAAATCAATTCCTAATAAGGTATATGTGAATAATAGAGCTTAAAATATAATTTCATTAAAAGAGTGACAGTGAAGTCAATTTCCAATTTCAGAAATTTTTGTTGTTAGCAAGTTTGTCAGGAATATATTTGGGGGAGAAGCACAGAGAAGGAGCCTTCTTGGCCCCCCTAAAACCATATGTTAACCAGAGAAATTCTGCCTAATAATGAATAATGATCATCACAATAGTAAGTGAGGAAGTGACTTTACTTCTTAAAATTTAATATCCTTTGTAGGTAAAGATAGTAGACATTTCAGGAGTTCAGTTATACAAGAATAATAATGTTGGAAAAAGTCAAACAGTCAATAACTAGCAAAAACCTGTGCAAGAATAGAACAATAACTGCTTATATTTCTAGAATTGCACCAGTACAAAGAGCCTGCATATATAGCAAATGAATTTCACAAGAGCCCTAGGAAGGATGTTACAGATATTATGGATTCAAATTAACAGATGAGGCTCTCAGAAGTTATATCACTTGCCAAAAGTAGCATAGCTCTAAAGTTGTCCAATAAGCGTCCATACACCAATATTTCAAGGAATTAAATTCCTATGACTACATCACCAGAAAATGGATCAAATCACAATTATGTAATCTGATTCAAATACAGTTTGGTACCCATCTCTTTGTAGCCCACTCATAAGTGAAGGTACTTTATAGTGATATGTTCATTATCCATTAATTGATAATACAGCTCCATGTATGCCTTGATATTCAGTTCTCTGAGCCAAACAATGTTTGCCTGGAAGTTGGACTTAGGGAATGTCAAGATTTTAACTTAGTACATGTGGTATGTAAACAATGGCTTTCAATGGCCTCCATAGAAAACTTTCTTTATGATATAGTCAGTGTTACTACGTAGTCAGTGTTACTACGAAGAAGGCAGATATTGATGAGCCTGTATTCATATTAGTAAGAGGAGACTTCATTGTCATGTCAGCTACAAGGAGCTCATTTTCTGCTCTCTTAGCCATTGGTAGATGGCTGTCAGCCATGCAGTAACTGCCTGCTTAGACCAAGCACTGTGCCACCCACGTTCCTCACCCTAGTGAAACTCACCAACCTTAGGAAAACATAATTATACCCAAAATAAAGATGAGAAAACCAAGGTTCTGGAATTAAATTGTCTGTGGTCATAGAGCCGGTCATCATAGAGAAATGATTACAATTCATACTCAAAGTATGCTGTGCATTTATCTCCCATCTCTTGCTGATTACCCCAAAAGTATCCTAAAAATTGTACCAAACAAGCTCTGATACGAAATTCTGTATATTACATATCACTTACATCACATATACTTACACATGATTTATATATATGCAAGCTTCAAACACAAAATGCAAGGGGATGAAGTAGTAGTTAAAGCGGCTTTATCTTAACATCCCTTCAGTAGCCCCAGCTTACTGCTATGGAGCCTGGGGAAGAGTCAAACACTGCACAGAAGCACAAGCTGCAGTTCCAAACCAGAGAAAGGGCAATTGTGTGAGGGCCAAAAGCAAGTAATAATGGTGTGGTTCAAGCGTGCAATTTATTGAAGGCTTGATGACTCCCAGAACTTGTTAGTTTCCGAAATTTGGTCTATGGAAGTTAAAAGTTGCAGCCCAGGGAAGTTACTTTTACAGTCATGCTCTGTCTTATGAAGGAGCCTGTCCCGACTGTAGGAGAAATCGACACATGTACTTGAGAGGGTGAGTCACACAGGATGTGTGTAGGCCCCCTCCCTCTTATCATACAACTCACCTTGGCTAAACACAGCCGCTCCCAGCATCTGCCTGCCTGTTGCTGTACTCCACCAACAGGATGGAGGTAACAGTTAAGTCACCTATATACGGGATCCCCTGAAGTACTTATAGCCCTTTTGTGTCGTTCTTCCTCTAAAGGATAAATCTTTTGCTTTTCTTTTACTCAAACACTCTGACTACAAATATGTGCAAAATATGTATTCATATGGATAAAGGTTAGAAGAAAATACAAATGAAAAACATTTGATTCATCAGTTTGGCAGGATTTGGAGTAAAGTTTTCTAACTTTGATTTTATTTATTTTCAGCCTTGCTCAAAAAGTATATGAGTTGGTTTACAATAATACACACACATTAAGATTTTTTAAGAGAATAAAATTTTAAAGTAAGCAACAGGGGAAAATTGTTCTTGAATATAATAAAAAAGGTGTGTGAGAGAGACAGAGAGAGAGAGAGAAGGAGAGAGAGAGAGAGAGGACACATGACGACTGGCCTTAAAATTACCTACAGTAGCCTTAAATCTCGCATTAAAAGGTCTGGGGAATCTCTCTTACTGCCCTTTACATTTTTTTTCAAATCCACCATCACAGATTGATTAACACAGTTACCAGCATATATTGACTGCTTATTGAATATAGATTGAACCCCCCAAAATAATAAGAAACCATAGATTTGCTAGTATGTTCATTTAAATTCAATTCCCCTCAATCAAGATAACTAGCTACTAATTAATATCTTCTTAAAGATGATTTAACTGATATGCTAGAAGGACGTTGACATTGAGAAGGAAAGGAGACAAGCAAGACAACCTCATCTGCTCTAATTCTAAAATCAGACTCTTTTCCAAAACTGCTCTTCTCTCCTTTTCTCCTGAGTCCCAAAGAACCATCTTGAAGATGTTGAGATGCAACAAGTTTTTGCAAAAGCACAACTCCTTTCGGTCGTCAACATTTTCTCACTGTCCTTTTCAGTGCCACCCATGTTTCTGCCCCTTGAAGCGTAGCTATGGCTTTCTGCATGTGACAGTCTCTCCAATGTGGGCAGAAAAGTTAATCTCGTTGCCCTGGTAATATTACATTCATTACCACCCACTGATGTTTTTATTGACTAGACCCTTCCCACAGCCTCCCACCATTCTTACCTTGCATGGTCCACATGATTTTCCCCCAAACATCTTAATTTGATATTGCTCAAAATCCGACTGTAGCTTACCTCCATCTGAACCATGATTTGACTATGGCCTCTAAATTCCAAGGACCCTGAATGCTTTGTGGTTACTAAAACATGCCTTGTGTGCTCTCCACTAAGTAGAACCTTGGGAATCTATTTTGCTTTCTCAGTGAAATTATAAGCTTCTGAAAAAAACTTTTACTTTCTTTGTCCTCCCTTAACATCAAGTCCAGTGTTATGCACTCAAAAAATACAAGTTCACACAATACGATTTTAAAAGACATGTTTCTGGAGGTGGCTGCATAGTGTAGTGGTTAGCACATCCGCTTTACACGCAGATGTACCTAGGTTCATCACCTAGGTTCGCACCCCAGGTAGAGTCATGGACCCGAGTGTGCCAGGCCTCAGGGGCATGCCACAAGCATGTGGGAGGAGATGCTCCGCCTTCAGATATCCAGTTCTTAAGGGGAAACGGCAACATCCATAGGTCAGGGGTGGAATTAAAGAGGCGGGGGGAAAAAAAGATATGTTTCTCTAAAATGATTTTTTAATTGATACTATTTTAAAAATTAAATGAGAGGTAGCTATTCAAATTAAGCTTTCAGTGAGTCCTTTTATAAATTAATAATGACTCCCAAATTTTTCATTTTGAATATATAGAATATTCTATTATCAATTTAAAGGTAAATACACTCTGCTCTAACATTATGATGTATTAATTGACTCATGTTTACTCTTTAATGCATATTTTTGTTGTTGTTTTGGTTTTTAATTTTAATAATTTGACTGACAAAGAAGAAAAATCTCCTTATTTGATTTACAAGAATGTCTTGTCGATAAGCAAAATAATTTCATTTTTGCCTAGAATTTTTGCCTACCAAGTAAATGGCAGTCACTTTGAAGTTCCATATTTAATCATTTCTTTATAAAAAGCTAATCCTTACATTTCTTGTTCTTAATTATTAAAGCTCATGTCAGTCAGCAATAACCAGTACACACACAGGTGTTGTTAAAACATGGCCCTATCTACTGAAAATGCAGGGCAACTCTACTTAGAGAAGTCTGTCTTTTGGTTTGCAGCTATAGTTAAGATGAAACCCCAAAAATGAATTTATTTTAAGAGTGTGCTTCCTGAATCTGTATTTAGGAAAAAATGACTCAAAAACACTTGTGCTGCCAGCATATTGTTTTTAAAGTACAATAAGAATTACAACATGCTCTCCTACTACTGTTGTGTCATCATGACTTTACTTGATTGCTTAATTTAATGCTTGCTTTTCCTACAGAACTCTGGCAAGCGTCTCAATAAAATGATTAAAATTGTTCTTTATTTTCTTAGCCCAGAGCCGGGACCATCAACCAATAATTTGATTCTTCTCTCCATAGCTAAGAGAGTTTTCTTTTGGCACATGTGAAAAGCAAAAGATAGCACCATGCATTTGCCACAAACCAGTCTAAATTACTGAGGGGAAAGAAAAACCTTTCTGGAAACTTACTTTCCATTTTTTCCACTCCCTTTCCAACCCTTGTGAGGTCAAAAACCATAACTAATAAATTACTGCAGGAGGAGGAGGAGCAGCTAGGAGAGAGAAAAAACTAGCCACATATACTTCCAATCTTCAGGGTTCTAAACATTTATCAGTCTGGGAGAAAAAAGAATTTTAAAGTTAAATGAAGTTCAAATTCTTTTATTTTTACATGGGATGAATATTTTAACTGATGAGATGAGACTGCTTTTGCAACTAA